AGACATTCTTTTTTGATTTGTGAACCTCCTTTCCGTCTCGGAGAGCATCCTGGAACAGGCGGCCATGGGATGCGGTCTTCGTCCTCATGCATCCGGAGAAAAGCTGCACCCAGACTGAAGCTGCTACCATCCTGTGTAACTATGGTTGGTTTATGGGTGACATAGAAGGCCAGGGGAGGTGTGTTCACTTTGCTGATGGCTGCCTGCTGAGACCGTCCCCATCGCGTTGTGTTTCAGCAGTTCCATCACTGAGTGGAGTCCTAAAGACAAGCTAGGTAAGAATCTACCTAGATAATCTCCAAAAGAAGAACCTGCCCAGTGGAGTGATAAATATTGTGAGTTTTGAGCTGCTGGAATCCAGCAATATTTGCCAAATCCCAGACGGTGTATTGAGTATAGAAAACAATGTCACAGTAACCAATGCAGGGGTAATGTCTTCCAATGTGGGGAGAATGAACCTCTGGCTCTGCACTGTTTGATTGAGGCACTTTCCCTGAACCATATATATCTAGAATTTGTACTTCGTTTCTGCTTTTCTATCAATAGATCCCATTAATTTTCCAGCTCAGTTTGCTGCTCTTCCAGGACTTCTGAGGTCAATTCCAGCCCGGACCAGCAGAGGGCGTTGTGGGAACGTCTGATACACTATATTGCCAAAAGTATTGGGACACCTGCCTTTACATACACATGAAATTTAATGACATCCCATTCTTAATACATAGGCTTTAACATGGAGTTGGCCCACACTTTACAGCTTTAACAGCTTCAACTCTTCTGGGAAGGCTGTCCACAAGGTTTAGGAGCGTGTTTAAGGGACCATTCTTCCAGGAGTGCATTTGTGAGGTCCACCAAACTTTGCACTTTGCACAATGCAGTCAGGCAAGTACCGTTCTCCTGGCAACTGCCAAACCTAGACTCATCCATCTGATTGCCAGACAGAGAAGCTTGATTCGTCACTCCAGAGAACACATCTCCACTGCTCTAGAGTCCAGTGGCAGTGTGCTTTACACCACTGCATCTAACGCTTTGCACTGCACTTGGTGATGTAAGGCTTGAATGCAGCTGCTCAGCCATGGAAACCCATTTCAATAGGTTTTCTACACACTGTTCTTGATCTAATCTGAAGGCCACATGAAGTTTGGAGGCATTGACTCTGCAGACAGTTGGTGTCTTCTGCACACTGTGCGCCTCAGCATGCGTTGTCCCCGCTCTGTGATTTTACATGACCTACCACTTCATGGCTGAGTTGCTGTTGTTCCCAATTGCTTCCACTTTGTAATAATACCACTAACAGTTGACCGTGGAATATTTAGTGGTGAAAAAATTTCATGAATGGACTTCCTGCACAGGTGGCATCCTATCACGGTACCACGCTTGAATTCACTGAGCTCCTGAAAGCGACCCATTCTTTCGCAGATGTTTGTAGAAGCAGTCTGCACGCCTAGGTGCTTGATTTTATACACCTGTGGCTATGGAAGTGATTGGAACACCTGAATTCAATGATTTGGAGGGGTGTCCCAATACTTTTGGCAATATAGTGTACGTGTACCACGATATAATGATTATATCAGCTCCAGTGTCTATTTTAAATCTTCCTTACCACACACAATCAGTCTTAAGTGCCACTTTTGCTTAGATTCCTGCCCCTCTATGTATCCCAGAAAAAGCGGTTCATTATTGTGGTCTGATTCCTTGCACACTATGACGTCTTTCACGTTCCTAATCCCGCAGATGATTGCAAAGTGTCATAACTTATTGCATTTCCTGCAGCGCTTCCCACACGCAGGAGACTCGTGCTCTTGAACCTGAGCCCGATTGCAACGTGTGCATGCACCACAGGGATGGTGATCCTTAGTTCGCTGCTTATGTATGTCGCGTTCCTGTTTGTATTGATAGATTTCTTCAGTGAAACCTCAGGTTCTTTTAGTTGAACGAAGAGGCAGGTTCCTTAAGCTTAAGCAGTTTATTAAGACAGAGTGAAGATGTTACAGGAAGATGTTTCACACGGCCGGTTCAGTGTCTGTCTGTGTCTGTCTGTGTCTGTCTCTGCCCCCCCTGAGGGCAGCAGGCCCTTTATCTATGGTCTTCATACAGACTTCTGGAGCCGGGGGGTCAGACGGCCTTGGTGAGAGTACGTTGTATGAGAGGCAAAGAACATGATGAGCGAGTAGCAAGGACAGAAAGTATAATAATAAAAAAATAATATGAAAACTATAAATGAATTAACAAAATAAACATAATTAAACAACTATAAATTAACTATGGAAATCCCTCAGCATGTTCTTTTACCAGTGTGCTTTACATGCTGTTTTTGCTGCGTGTGTGAAAGCTCCTTGACCTCCACCAATCTCATAGTTTGGTCTTGCAGCTTCTTTCCTTCAGACTGACGAGTGATCTGCACTGCTTTCTCAAGAGTTAGCTGGGGATCCATTTGTCATTTCTGTGAAACATCCCAGTCCACTATACCTAGGACCACTCGATCGCACATCTGTTCCTCTATGCCTCAAACTCACAGAATTCAGCCAGTTCATATAAGTTACGTACTAACTCTCTCCAACTCCTTGAGAACGCAGGTGGAATCGCACCCTCTCATGTATTATATTATGTCACGATACTAAATATTTATTAAATTTGAGCTATACCTTATCATTGTGAAGAATGTCTTCCTCAAATGTGAAGGAAGTGTGGAGAACTTCTGACACCATGTCATCTACTCATGCCAACTCCTAACGGGCTTTTCATAAATGCACTTTGTTAATGACTAACACAGATTTTTATCACACGCTCCTGTTCTAGCTCCGGAATTACCCACAATACACCACGTACAGCAGTCCACGTTTGGTAATTGTAGTCCACCAGCTTAATATCATCACAGCCCCCTAGTGATCAAATGATATATATTTGTGGGCCTCCTCAAGTATGGTTTTGACATATCAAAGTGTTGTTGAGATGACCTCACTTCCTGTTTGGTGCCATGAAATTCAATGGACACAGTGGCCATATCGTTTGCCCTAACAAAATCCTTTAAACGACACTGTAAATGATACGTACCAGATTTAGTGGTGCTACAATCAAAACCCTAGGACTAGTATACAGAAGTAGGTTTTCGAAAAAAATTGAAAATGGCGAAAAATCCAGTGTGACAGACTTTAACAATAATAGGTGCATTCGAATTGAGAGAGCCCAAGGTTTCATAGGAAAACAGCAGGACAAACGGTTCAAACGTTATAAGCAAAAATGTTGGTGGCACTACAGAGATAGATGGATTGACTCCAGATTTGACCCTTGGATATTTTGCACTCTTCTGTATAAAAGTGCCAAATTTCACTTAGACCCACTAAGGGGTTTTATGGGCTGCCAACGTTAAGTATAATTAAGTATAATATTAGTGAAAAATCTAACAATTACAATAGATGCCTAACATCATCGGTGTTTGGCCCCTAATTATACAGCAATAACAAAAGTAATGACATATGGTACAATCCTGTGCCTTCAGCTGACGAACCACTGAAGTCACTGAGTGTCACAAAGTAGTGCGTGTATTCGTTATTACAAACAGACCCCTTCATAAGTACAAGTTATCCGTGAGGTGGATGTTCTTAACCCAGGGACTGCCTATACACTGGTATTCCTCACCACCTCTGGGACTCTATAATTGTTTAGATTTTCGGCAAACAGTTATAAGCTTGGAACACTTGGGCTTGTGGTTTTGAAAATCATTTTATGTTTAATAGAGGCATTTAGGAAGTAATTTTCTCCCTGAATAGAATCTGCCTAATCTTCCGTAGCTTGCTTTGTGATAACAGAATCAAATATCTAGTTAAATACCCTGTTTAAGAAGGTTTGAAGTTGTACATGGCAACATGAAGCCGTTTTGAACTTTGGAGCACTTATCTGATATTGTGGCCTTGAGTGTCACCTGGAACAGCAAAAATTGCTAGTTTCAGTAAAATTGGCGCCATATAATCTCCTCATTTTAAAACCATGTTTCTCAAACTCAGAGACCTGCAGACGGTTCACGTATTTGATCCCTCCGAATTCCCCAGGAGCTGGGAGGGGGCAAAAATGTGGACCGTCTAGAGGTGCCCAAGGGCCGGCTTTAGAAGCACTGGCTTAAGATAGACAGGGTTAGTCTGTCCAAGGGCCACATTGGCTGATATTTAACACAGAAATTTAATAGTCGTGCACAATTATTTAAGATGTAAATTGAGAGAATTAATATGACTGCAATGAATGTGTGCCATTTATACGGGGTCAACTCGTTTGTAAGGTTAAAGTGCAGTCACAAGCGAAAACTACAAAATTGATGGCTTTGATCAAACTAAAAGAAATCGTGAATGTTTACATATACATATGCATAACCTTTATTATAGTTTAGTTGTCTGTACTTCTGGATCATTCTGTGTGTCACGGGGAAAAATAGGAGTATGTATGCAGAAGACATAACTTTCCAGGGACAAGGTTGTTCACAAGCACCACCAAGTGGTATATATTTGTGTTTACGTTGCAAGTGCTGTACATCAATGTACATTACTGTATAACATAAAAATCAGCTATAAAAATAGGCATCAGACTATGAAAATGTCTAATAAAATAATCCTATCAATTGTCCATTTGTAGAATGACATACAGCGCAGGCGCATTTAATGGGAAAACGAAATATAAAATGTTAAACTGTAAATAAGTTTAAGAATAAATTTGAATATTATTTTTATGAATAAGTTTCAAAGAGCGCCACATGAACTGTGATTTTAATAGCTCTTAGGAAAATATAATCGTACTATACTAGCCCGGTGAAATATTCCAGGCATAGAAAAGTTTTTCACATAGTATTCAAAAATACATTCAAAGACCTCCGAAAAACATTAACAACCTTCCAAGTTAAAAATATTTATTATTCGACTGCGCAGGAAGATCGTGTTTTAAAACTGTACATTGCAAAACTAACATTTTGATAAACGGATTTATTCTTACGACAGCAGATGTAATTTGTCGCACATGCGCGGTAAGCGCGTCGTGCGCACAAGGTCATTCACGCGCTGAACGGCGATCTACTTCTGCGTCCGACAGCGTGGACGCGCTGCTTGGCAAAGCAATTCACCGGTAACACATTTCCCCCACAGATAAACAGCAAAAAACTCAGCAATGGCCAGAGGAAGTCGTAGTCGTCCATCACCGCCAGCTAGGTAAAGTAGTAATGTGAACGAGCGTCCTTGTTAATGTTTTTTTGTGCCCTATGGTTACGTAAAACCAGTTGCGTCATTAAAAATTTTAAAAAGAGGGGGAAAGTTTCTCAATTACATTCATAATTAGTTTTTTCTTTACACACGCAGGGATATTTTAAGGCCCATAAGTTTTACAGGAAGTAGGTCAGGGCTGGTAAAAGTACACTGTCTGGAGTGACTACTCTGAGAGCGATAAATTTGTATCTCAGTCTGGCAATGTTTCACTTCTCAATGTCACAGATTGTCTGGAGGGACACGTGCATTCTCTGTCCTATTCTTTAAATAACGATGTATCTGGCTGTTTTTAAACTGTGCCACATTCTTAGAAATGGCTCGTCTCTGTCTCGATTAATGTGATATTAGGAGAAAACCTCCGCTGGGTGCATTGTAATTTGCTTGTGGTCATTTTGTTCCTATTTGTGATAGTCACACAGCAGCCTCTCACGCACCTGCCCATCCAGCCCCATCCACCCTCGCCCCAGCCCCTGCCCAGCCCAAGCAGCCCGGTCTGATGGCACAGATGGCCACCACTGCGGCGGGGGTAGCTGTGGGCTCAGCCGTGGGCCATGTGGTGGGCAGTGCCCTCACGGGAGCCTTCAGCGGGAGCAGCAGCCCCCCAGAGCCCGCCAAGCCGTCCAGCACGGTGCAGGTGAGCCCAGTGTGAGCACTGGACTGACATACAGCCCATCTACACCTACAGTCTGACTGGTCCGCAGCCAGAAACCAAAACCAATACAGATCTTAGAATTTTCTAGAACCTGTGGAACTGTAGTGCATGTGCAAAAACATTACAGATTTCACCAGTCTGGAATGGCTTCTGATTGCAGTTCAGTTTAACCCGAATAACCTCCTTTGAGGCAATATGAAATTCACATTTACACTTATTTTGCACTATAAAGGTAAATCTCAGTTGTAAGGTTTTCTTTTAATCTAGTACAATAGTTTTTACATATTTGTACATATTATATATATTAGCATTTTGCAATTCTGTGTTATGTCTACCTTTATGCCTACCTCGTGTCTGTGTTTCTGTCGTTTATGTAAATTTACCCTTGGGGAGTCTGAATCTGAATAGCTGTTACCCCCCCAATTATTGGGGTAAAGTATGAGTAACTTGAAATTTCCTCACAATTCCTTCTGTATAATATTACTGATATTAGTTTAAAAAGTGTGAAAAATGCTCAAATCGTGCTTTCTTGTAATTTAATTACAAAACTGTGCAAAACATTAGTAACGTACAGCATGAGACCTTGGGCCCTGAAACATAAGCTGATCATTCCCCATATTGGTGCCTCATAAGCTGATCGTTCCCCGTGTTGCTGCCTCATAAGCTGATCATTCCCCTTATTGGTGCCTCATAAGCTGGTCGTTCCCCGTGTTGCTGCCTCATAAGCTGATCTTTCCCCATATTGCTGCCTCATAAGCTGATCTTTCCCCATATTGCTGCCTCATAAGCTGATCTTTCCCTGTATTGCT